GTTTGCAGCACGAATCCCGAATAAACACCCAAAAGTTCGCTCTATGTCATTCTTTTCGATAAACGAGCTATTTGTTTTCATTATTGGCATAGTGTTTATTGTTACCGGTTTTAGAGAGCAATATCCAGCTTATTTAGCCTCTGTTTTATTAAAAATAAATCCATTTTGCTATTGAATTCTATAAAGGTAGAGGCGGACAACACGAGGATATACTGCAAACCTTTTAATAGTCCTCGAGTAATAATTGCACTAACTTTACTGACATTCCGTGATAACGTTGTTTAAAGGGTGTTTTGGTGGATCGAAACCAAAAGTAACGTACCAAAACAAATTGTATTAGATAAAAAACGGAAATCTGAACGGTGCTAAATAACCGTTCGTCAAATGAAAACGGCCGAAAAAAAAGAAATGAGATGGAAATCCACATAATTCAACTCAAATTGACTTAAAATTAGATTTGCCAGTGCAGACGCAGAGGGCTGACGACGCAATGTTTTAGAAAACTAGTTTATCAGCGCGTGTAGTTCTGAGAGGCTAGAGCGGTCTCTTTAGTTCTTCTTGACTCTCGTCTGTAATTTAATCAAGCCTTTACCCTTCGGGCTTATTTCTGCTTAGACAGTGGAAAGCAGTTCACTCCAAAGTAGGCGCCAAACTGCACTATCTCACACTTTACGAAAAAGAAGTAATTTGATAAGAGAAAACTCTCAGAAAGGATGGCAAGGTGGTTCATTGCGCAAGTTTGATCTACCCTTTTACGGAAACAAATTTACCCTATAAAAGGCCATTTGTTTTTTTTTAAAAAAGCTTCCTTCTTTACCTATTATCTTCTCATTTTTGTGGCTAGCATTTGCTTGTTCTTTTGGAGGCAGACACTAAACGGATGACCGAACTATCAGGACAAATAAAATAGTCTAGGATTGGAAGATTACTCCATGCTCTCCTGATATTATAGATAGGGCATGCTTGTCGAAGCTGAGACACTTGTTTATCAAGCTCATCTTCAAAATCGCCTCCGATTGGATAGCACCTGGTTGAAGAAAAATAGATGTTTATGCACGATTCTGTCTGCTGTTCGCTGGCACTCGAGCAGCTCTGGCAAACGAACATTCCCTCTTATGTATGATTCTGTCTACCGTCATGTGCAAAACGTCTTCGATAACAAAAGCCATAAGCGGTCACTAAATTCACCTTTTTGAAGTTACTGTTAAAATAGGAAAAGGAAACTGAACATATGTGTAAAATGAAGAGAGTTAATATTTCTGGAGTGCTTTTGCGGAAAGCACGAGGAAAGAATTTATATCGAACTCACATAATCTCGACTCGTCTTTTGCTGTGCTTGTTTATAGCACCTCATGCTAAAACGGAATCGGCAATACAGATCAACTACTTCCAGCCTTAGACTCAAATTTTAAGCGACTCAAAACCGAGACAAAGTTTTATGTATTTACCAGTCGCAAGGAATTAAATATAGCACCCATATTGACATGATAAAATCCTTCGTCGGAGGGGAAAAAACAGCGAAACGGAAATTCAGATCTCGTCTCAAATAGAGGGAGCCAAAACGCTTGCCTTGCGAAAGATAGCCAATCGGACGACGTCAGTTCACTGGTTGGCTGTTGGTGACCAAGGATCCACGCATTGGGAGCAAAACTCAACGGCGGACACAGGCACGCACACGCAGTGACACCTTGTTAACTGGGCGGAGACTCGTCAATCGAAACACAATTCCTGCTAGTGGTTTGCTCGTTACCTGAAATGCTCGAAGATAGGGCTGCTCGTCTCCCGAGGCTTCCCTGTATATGTAAAATACTGACGAGAACATGCATACGTTTTGCTTGACTAATAGACGGGGTTCTGAAATTGCACTAGTCCAACGTATTTTTTTGGTCAGAATTAACGCAGTGGAATGGTTTTGGACAGTAG